GAGCTAGGATTACAGGCGTGAGCCATCACGCCCGGCCCACACTGACATTTTTTAACAGTCCCTGAGAGTCTTAATATCTGAAGCCGAGAGCTGTTGTTAGGAACAATGAATGCTTAGCTAGAGTTCAGTTTTGATGAGCTACATGTGGATTTGGAGAGATTAGGAATGGGAATTTCATCTCTCTCCACAGCTCAGTGGGGACTAATTTGGATTGGGGGGTTCAGGGATGCTGCTTCCTCTTTTCAAGTGAGAATCACTAGAACTATTAACTGGAAAACTCTGCTGACCTCTCAGGGGGCAGGGGCGAGTTGAGGAAGCCAATAAATCTTTTGGTCATTGGAGTGGACCAGCAAATGCCTCTCCGAGCAACGGAAATATGTATTCAATACTGTTCCCTTTGTTCCATGATTAGTTTTCTCTCCAAATTAGTACTTTTTAAACGTCCACTTACAGCTGGAATTCTTCGTCTTGTTATTGTTAGTTGTCATTTGTTCTACTTGGGTAAAACAATATTTATTTGTGCAAAAATCCAGAAAAGATATTAGCATAAAGAGAGCGACCTCCTCACTTCCTGAGAGGCTCACATTGCCCTGTAAAAGGTAAAAATAGCAGCTTGCCTGTGTCCTTCCCCACATCTGATGCCAGTTGCTGGCACAACTTTTTGTCTGCACTGTGCAAACTAAACAACTAAGGAAATGTAATTTCAATAACAGACAAGTGTTTAAGTAGGTAAACGCCTACCTATTTTAGTTTATTATTTATTTATATGGATGTATGTCTCCCTCTAACTTGTTCCCCAAAAGCTTTTGATAGCTCACAGAGGGGGAAAAAGAAGAAACAAGACCCAACATAACAAATCAAGCGTGAGGAATTTTCTAGAATGAGCACGTATTCCTCTTGCAAAGAGACTAGGAGAGCAATAAGTTATTTAAATTAAAAAAAGAAGAAAAGAAGGAGGAATCATAAGGAAAGACACTTAAAAAGAAGCCCAGCATAAAGCCAATACTAAAGATGCATTAGTGAGACTCCCACCTGCCTGCCATGCGCAGACAGATGGTAGGGCACTGCACGCAGCCCAGGCTAGCCACTGGCGGGTGACGGAGCAAACAGTACGGAAACAGCGCCCAGCATCACAGCTCTGAGCCTCCTGTAATCACACCAATAAACAGAGAATAGTAAACGGTGGCAGGGCTTGCAAAGGCAAGTGAATTCTGTGATGAGCGACTACCACAGGGGATTTGAACTGCACTAAGAGTCAGAGAAGCGACATCTGAGAAGTGACACTTACGAAAAGCTGGGAAAAATAAGTAGGAATGAATTAGGCGAAGAATGGAAGAAAGAACTTGGCAGCCAGCAGGAAGAGCACGTGTCAACTTCCTTCCGCTGCACGAGTGGAAAGAAAGGGAGTTTGGTGAGAGGTTGGGAGGCAGAGAGGAGAGAGAAAGCATTAAAGAGCTAGTATTTACTAAGTGCTTTCTGTACACCAGGCACTGTTCTAAGCCCTTTATGTGCATCAACTCACTTATAAAATCCCTATGAGTGGATACTATTATTTTCCCATTTGAATGATGAGTAAACTGAGGCACAGAGAGATGAACTACTTCCAAGATCACACAGCTAGCAAGTAGCCCATAACTTGAATATCAAAACCTTAACCCCTATACCACACTGTGTGTGGCA